AATCTCCATCAATATCCCTTTGCATGGGGCTGTTCCGTGTTGTTTCGGCCCCTCAAGGGTCTGTTTGATTGCCTTGCTGTTCCACTGGTGCACAGTCATGCTGCCAGTGCCCACCTGTAGCAGTAAAGCCAAAAGCTGGGATTTAACACCAAAGCCTCAACTTTCCAGGAGAAGGTGGTGTAACCTTTCCTACCTGCACCCCTAGCAGCAGGCAGTGCATTTATTTCAGGCATGAGTACTTGTTCCTGCTGCTGTTTTTCCTGCTAATTCTTTTCCTTCCTTTGGTTGTTTTAGTTTTCATTGTGGGTCTGCACTCCTGTGAGAGCTAGTGCTGTGCAGAACAAAAACAGTAACTGCAAAGCCCCGGCTTTTACAAGGGTGAGAATCAGAACAGGAAAGAAAGCCTCAAATCACAGCAAGCAACTCTGCTTCCTTCCTTTTCCCCCCTGGCTTTGTGCAGAGCTGGGGTCCTCCACCTTTCCCACCTTCAGACAGAACTTCCAGGATTTCCATGCTTTCTCTGCAGGCACCAGCATACACTAGTGCTTGCCAGGGTCTGGTTCAAATGCTTCCATCTGGTTTTGTCCACTTGCCTGAGAAGTCTTGTGCTGCTTGTGCATCATGGGGGGAAGTATTTGTCCTCCAAAGGGCCCCAAGATGTCTGGCTGGTGAGGGTGTGGGAGCTGTTCAGTGTCTGTGACATCCTGCGTCCTATATTTCAGTAACATTTAGCTGGTGTGAGTAAGTCCTAGCATGCGTGTACTCCATCGCATATAAATGCTTCCTAGGAGGCTTAGATGTTTACAGAATCAAACCAGTTGAGGCTGAAAGGGACCACTAGGGGTTTACCTGCTCAGGCATGGTCTCCTGGAGCACATTGCTCAGGATTGTGTCCAGGCAACTCTTGACTATCTCCAGGGCAGAAGACTCTACAACTGCTCTGGGCAACCTATTCCAGTGCTCAATTGCCCTTATGGTACAGAAGTTTTTCTTTGTGTTCAGGTGGGGCTTCCTGTGTTTTAGTTTATGCCCATTGCCTCTTGTTCTATACCCTGGCACCACTGAGAAGAGCCCAGCCTCATCCTCTTGACCCTCTCCCTCTGGATACATACACACATTGATCAGATCCCCAGAGTCTTCTCTAGGCTGAACAAGCCTGGCTCCCTCAGCCTTTCCTCACATGAAAGATGCTCCAGACCCTTACTTGTCGTAGTAGCTTTTTGCTGGACTTGCTGTAGGAGCTCTGTGTCTCCCTTGTACTAGGGAGCCCAGAGCTGGATGCAGTATTCCAGGTGAGGCTCCATCAGGGCAGAGCAGAGGGGGAGGACCACCTCCCTTGACCTGCTAGCCACACTCTTCTTAATGCATCCCAGGATGCACAAGAGCTTCAGCATTAGGTATGTGTGTCCTGAGGAGCCCAAAGGTGCAGTTTGTTTCTGAGGGTTTTAGCTATGCAGAAGGCCACTGCTGTCTTACTTCTCACTACAGCAAGTGGCACTGCTTGCATAGAGCATTCCTTTATCCCCAAGTCTGGTCAGGGAGTGGAAAAGTGTTTCTTGTCCATGGAAACTTCTCTGCAAGTACAGTGTTTGGTTTTCCTGTTGTTTTTACTTAAGAGCTTGTTATTTTAAAGTACTTATCTATGTTTGTCTAAACTTTTCTGCTTATGAGAGACAGGCAGTGCAGGGAGAGAGGAAAGAGGGCAGAAGTGACTGATGCTAGGATAAGATTGCTCTGAAGGCACATGTATTCAGGAGCACTGCAAATCTATCAGCTCAAACTGCTGAGGACGAGGGGGGGTCCCTGGCTGGGAAGGGAAGGTGGAAGTGATGATTCCTTCCTGGATAATGTGCTTTCTAGACAACAGCTTTGCTTTCTGCTCCTGTGGCAATAGCAGCGGATGTCTTGCTCAGCCCAAAGCCCAGGGAGGGGACAGCCCGGTTGGGGCAGGGCAGGAGGTGTGGCAGCACTGGTGGTATCCCACTGCCCAGAAGCTTCCGTTCATCCCTAGTGCCACGTAGCCTTGCTTGGTGTTGACTGTGGCCAGCAGCCAGCTTTCTCCTCCTGTTTCCTCTGGTGTGGTCAGGCACTCTGGGCTGGGAGGTGAGAGGAAAGGGAAGAGGGCAGTGATGGGTCCTGGGCATCCATACACCCTGTTCCCTTTTCCCTGCTGTTAAGTGTTTCCAGGGACCTGCCCACTCACTCTGAATTAGGATGCTGCTAGAGAGCAGATACCAAACAGCTTTCACCCCCAAAACTGTTTCCCCCAAAAAGCATCCCTAGCTCAGGAGGGCTGGCTGGAAGTGTTGTAAAGCCCCTCATCCCATGGAACATGGGTGAAAGGGAAAGCCAGTTCTCGGCACATCAGCATCATCTTACTCATTGGAACAATGTTCAAGGCTGGGCGTCTTATCTCAACTCTTATCCAAGCTAGCGATAGCAGAGCCGAGTGATGGAAACCATGTGGTGCATGGAAGGCCAAGCCTCATGCAGTGATCAGTGCAGATGACGAGGATAGTTTTCCCTGGGGAAGATGCTGCTTTGGTGTTAAAGCCTCTGAAGGGCTGTGTGTGGGCTTGTTGGCCCTCACGCAGGAAGCAAAACAAGTAGCAAACTAAAAACAACCCTCAGTTGACAGGATACACCGTTAAGTGTTAGTGTCTGTCCCAGGCTGTGGTAAAGGGCAGAATAGCTAAATCTGGGAGAGGATCAGCCATGCATGTGGCTACCAACAGCCATGGTGCACCTCAGAACAGTGAGGGATAGCCTGGCCATGTGTCCCCAGCATGGTGCTTGGGGCTAGGTATTGGTGACCCTGTGATGAGGCAGTTTGGGATAAGGAAGAGCAGTTTTGGGGCTGTGATGTGCTGGAGCAGATGCTATCACCATAACCCCTCTGCTCTTGGCCACTGTGTCTGTGTTGAGTGCAGGTGCGGGTCACCACTAGGGAGGTGGCACTGGGCTCGGGTGCATTGCCCATGGGCACAGCTTGAGATGAGGCTGTTCCTTAGGATCCAGCAGTTCCAGGGGAATCCCCTCTGCTGGCTGCTGCCTCATATCCTCATGAGCATTGACAGAGACTTAGATCAGCAGCCAAGTCTGCTCCTTTCTGGAGCTCTCTCCTGCTGCAACCAACATGCATAGGGAACTGGGGTCAGGAAAAAGGCTTTTACAGAGCTTTAAAGCAGAGACATCCTCATCTCTCCAAAATATTACAAGTTTCATAAGCAAAACAAGCCTGTTGTTCCAGACCTACCCAGTTTCTCCAGCCTGGGTCTATCCCCAGTGCCATCATCCCTGATGCCAGTCTGTACCCAATGACACACTTGGCATAAGAATCACTCTGTGTATTGGGACCACAGTGCAACATCTGCCTTCACATGCAGGTAACGGTGATGCCTCAAGTCCAAAAACCAAGGCAGAGCTGGGAATGAAGCAGTTTCTCCCTGCTGGAAGCTGGCTACAAGCATTCTTATCCCTTTGTGGGGAGCAAACCTATGTTGTTTAACCTTCAGCATCAGACCCTTGTCCCCTGATGCCCACAGCAAGGACTTGTAGTGCTCAGTCCACAGCAAAGCTGCTGGCCAAGGACACTTCTTCTGAGGCCAAGCAGTGACATCCGTGTGCCTCAGCCTTGTTTTGGAGTCTGTGACCTCTTGGCTGCCATTCCTCTTGTGCAAAGTTGCTGGCTGGAGGGTGGGGAGTGCCTCGGCCCCTGCCTGCCTGGCAGGGCTGCTTGTGCTGTGGCTGGGGGCCAGGGTGATGAGATGTGGTCTTTAGAGACCTTCTCCTCCATCCCTCCTTAAGGACAAGCACTATGTCATCTTCCCATCCCCTTTCTGCCCTGCACCTCTCCCCATCTTCCCCACTGCCCCTCCTTTCTTTGAGCTGCAGGGAAGGGTATTTAGAAAGGAATGAGCTGGAAGTTACTCCAGGAAAGCTCCTAGCTCCTATGCTGTCCCATGTTTCAGTGGCCCAAGCCAGCTCCTGCCTAATCCCCAGCCTTTCTTGCCTTTGGGGCAGCAGTGATGAGCATAAGAAGGCTGATGTGCTCAAAATCTCACTATGGGTGAAAGGGAAATGCAGCCAAGATTAATACTTAATGTAACCAAAGTCTAAACAGTCAGAGAGCTTTTATTTCTGATCTAGACTGCAGAAAGGGAAAATAAAACAATGAATGTTGTTGTATTAATACCACAGTAGCACTAGTAACAGAGCTCTGCATGTCTTTAGCTGGTCCCCGGGAAGCGGTTTCTCATCTTGGGGTCTCCAGTGCATCTCCCCTCTCCTGGCATCCCCCTGCTCCTGTATCCCTCTGGCAGCATCCTTACAGGCCATCAGAGCGCTGAATGCATTAATCTGCTAGGACAGACTGTCCTGTTATGGCTGTCTGTGCTCAACTTCAATGCCTCATAGAAAGATGAGGGAATGTAAAACTAAATGAAGCGTTGCCACTTGGCCATGGGAGAGGTGACTTAATTGAGTTGATCCAAAGCAACCACAGCCCTCTCCATGTCTGCCTCCCCTGTGATGGAACTGCAGCCCCATGTCAGTGCTGGGGGGAGGGAAAATGAGAGCAACCAAACACACCATGAGAGCTGATGGGTGATTTTATTCACAACATCTCCAAGCAGTGCCACGGGGTCTGACATCCGCCCTCCCGTGCATTTATCCCCATTAAACAAGGATAAATGAGAATATGATGCCATCCTTTTAAACCCTTCCTTGGTTGTTTCTCCTGCTGATTTCAGACCCCCGTTCTGCTTCCCTTTTTCCATCTGTGCCAAGTGTATTTCAGTGTTAAGACTCAGTGCATCATACCAGCCTGGTGTGGGGACCGTCCCCAGGGCAAGGCACTGCTGCTGCCTGGGGGGCTCAACCCATCTGGGACCAGGCAGGGAACCCACCAGTGTCTTTTGAGAGCAAAGCCTGTGGTGCTAGGGAGATAAATCCCTCATGGGGCACAGGCTTGGTCCCTGATGGGTCCGGTCCCTGATGGGTCCGTTCCCTGCCTCCGCAGGGTGATGTGGTACCATTGGCTCCGCTAGCAGCTCCCTCCTGTGCACAGGAAGATCCCTATGGCCATGCCTAGCAAGGAGAAGGTCCCCAGGATCAGGCCCAGCACCAGCGGGGCGTGTGACCGGCTGTTCTGTTTACCTGCAAGAAGAGGGATGGAGGTGAGACAGGGCTCACACCCACCGAGCCACCTTCTCCCCTCCTGGACCTGACAGACCTGTCCCAGCGCTCTGAGCTTGTAAGAGGCCCACACAGGTGGTGTTGAGGAAATGCTGGAGGTCCTGCGTGGTTTTGGGGTACTTCATCAGCTCCCTCTCAGCAAAGGTGGCCACCGCGTCTCTGCCGGGCCAGCGCCGCTCCCAAGTGGCGTTGGGGACGTGAAAGCTCAGGAAAGCTGTCCCGTTGAGCGTCACCTCGTAGAAGCTTTGGGCTGTGCCATTGGGGAAGAGACTGCAGCCGAGGCGGCAGCACAGGCTCTGGGTGTCTGTGGGGACAGAGGGAGCAGGTCAGGGTCAGCACGCTCCTAACCCTCGACAGCCCATGGCTGTCACCAGCATCAAGCTGTGCACTGAGTTTACGAGGCCTCAGCCTTGCACCACACAACCCAGCCACTGATCTGTTTTCACTCGGTTTAGCTGCAATGGCAACTTTTCCCAACAGATAGGCACTGCACTTTATCTTCCCCTTCCTTATCTGAGTACAGCACAGCTTCAGTGTTAGAGAGACGGTAGGTTTCAGGTGCTATTCCTCACCCTCACGGAAGGATGCAGTAGAGGGAGCATGGGACCCTGGGCAAGGGGAAACCCCAAGGTGAGAAAGTGCTTCCTAAAGGCCAGGTAAGGAAATGCAGAGCTGCAGCAAAACTGGTTTGGGGGTAAAAAAGGAAATGATGGGGTGACACAGCCTGGGCAGGAATATGAGAGGAGCAATGCAGGCAGGGACATGAAGCCATTGCCATCAGCATTCCGTACCTCTCACAGCAGCTGCAGGATGCAGATGGGATGCAGGCAGGGTGCAGAAGGGGAGTGAAGGCAACATAAAGGCAGGGTGCAGGCAGAATTCCTACACCTCCCCATCCCCTCAGGCTGCAGCCCCCAGCCCTTTTCCCAAGGCTGAGCATCACCCTGTCCCCTGGGTGGGCTCTGGGTAAGAAATTCCCAGCTCAGAAGGGCTCCTTTTGCCTAGAGAGACAATTTGCACATGGCCATGTCCATCCCTTTGCCAAGCTGTTCCAGTGACCAGGCAGTGAATGGGGGCTCCTCTTTCCCATTGGGACCTGTCCCTGTGCCCTCCCAGGGTACCACTCACAGTTGATAGGCCTCTCCTTGCTGAAGAGCTTCACCAGCTGGCTGAAGTAGTTCAGGTAGGTGGTCACATCCTGCTGCCGCCTGGCCCAGGCGTCCGGGGGCTCCAGAGGCAGCACCTGGGTGACATTGAGCCCTTCCAGGAGATGGCTGAGCTGCCCGTCCAGGCTGGCGTTCCCCCAGAATTCAGAGTTGCCTTTGGAGACCAGGGTCTGCTGCAGCATGGTGAAGGTGAGTGGGGCTGCAGGAGACAGCAGGCATCACCCAATGCCTCATCCCCTCACCTAAAAGCCATGGGTGTCCCCGCATGCGAACACTGAGTTCCTCCAACCCCAGCCACCACCGTGCCCTTGCCTTACCTGCCTGGTCTGCCCCACAGCCCAGGGCCCCGCAGAGCAGCAGTAACCGGAGCATCGTGGGGATGGGGACTGGATTGGTGGCCCCACGGCTGGCCTGGCAGGGAGTTAAGCAGGACGGGGAGGTGGGGCTGCAGGAGGAGGAGAGTGGGAGTCCAGCCAGGTCTCTCCCATTTCCTTAGTCCGAGCCACCCACACCCCTTCACTGCCGGACATGCCCTAAAGCTCTGAGCTCACGGGGGAGTGAGCAGCCAGGGCCTGCCTCAGTTTCCCCATTCCTTGAGGATGAGCTCCAGGGATCCCTTTGGCAGGAGCTCCATGAATCATAGAGTCACAGAATGGTTTGAGTTGGAAGGGATTTTAATATCTCATTCCAAACACCTACCACAGGCAGGGACACCTTCCACTAGACCAGGTTGCTCCAAGCCCCGACCAACCTGGCCTTGAACACTGCCAGGGATGGGGCAGCCACAGTTTCTCTGGGCACTCTGTGCCAGCGCCTCAGCACCCTCACAGTGAAGAACTTCTTCCTTATAACTAACCTGAATCTCCCCTGTTTTAGTTTAAACCCATTGCCCCTTGAATGTGCGATGGCGGCAGGGAAACACAGCGGCAGGGGACCACTGCAGGAGGAGACGGGAAGGATGGAGGGGAGCAGCCTCACAGCCCCACGCTGCACCCATGGGGGGCCTGGTGCGTACATCCGGTACCGGTGCTCTCGGCACGCGCTGATGTGACATGACCCACAATTATCCCTGGAAGGACGCGGTTCTAAGGATGCAGCATCCCTGCATACCTCTCACGGGGGGGAGGGGGGGGGTCGGGACCGAGAAGCGCCCGGCAGGGCTGGCTCCGCGTGCGCGCTGCCTGTAGGATCCATGGTTTATCGTTCAATCGGTACGAGATGCGCGTTAACGTTTTAACGATGCGGCGTCGCGCGGGGGGCGTGGCCTCACCGCCGGGGGCGTGGCCGTTATCGGGGGCGTGTCCGGCGGCGCCGGTGCCGGGAGCGCAGCGATGGCGGCGGCGGAGCTGGAGCGGCTGCGGATGGCCGGGGCCGGCATGGCCATCGCCGTGCTCACCAGCGGCGGCGACGCGCAAGGTGGGGCCCGGCCGCGGGGGAGCGGGGACATCGGCCCCCGTGGGCTCGCCCCGTCGGGGTTGCGTGTCCGTGGCCGTGTCCGCCCTGGCTCCCGCAGGCTCGGCGGGGCCGGAGTCCTCGGGGCCTCGGGGAGCGCAGCTCCTCCCCGGACGCCTGGGGCGGGCGCAGCAGGGACACGGACACACACGCACGCACATTCCTCCCGTGTTTCCCGCGCGGTGCATCCCACCCGCGGCTCTTCCCTGTCTCCATCACCCCGGCGGGGGGCATTTTTCCGGGGCAAGCCCGACGGTGGGGTCCGTCCCCCCACGGCAGGTGTTTGTAATGCGCCTCGCCCGCAGGCAGTTGCTTATCTGTAGCTCTCACCCGTGCACTGAGTTTCCCCGGTCTCTGCCCGCATGGCCCCCACTCCTCAAGGGGACACCTCAGGGTCATGGCTGTGATTGGTCCCCTCTGGAGCACAGGCTCCCTCAAGGCCAGCCTGGTTCATATCTTGCCTTTCCAGGGATGAACGCTGCCGTCCGCGCCGTCACCCGCATGGGGATATATGTGGGAGCCAAGGTCTTCCTCATCTATGAGGTTGGGGTACCCACCCAATCCCCATCACAAGTCAGGGGGGAGCTTCCCCCATGTGCCGGGGTACCCCTCACCTCCACCCCCTGCTTCTCCACAGGGCTACGAGGGGCTGGTAGAGGGGGGAGACAACATCAAGCAAGCCAACTGGCTCAGCGTCTCCAACATCATCCAGCTGGTGAGGATCAGCGGTAGGGTATGGGATCCCCTGATCCCACCCCAAACCTGTACGATGAGCTGTGTTCCCCCTTTCTCTCTGCAGGGTGGGACGGTGATTGGCAGTGCCCGCTGCAAAGCCTTCACCACGCGTGCGGGCCGGCTGCGGGCTGCCCGTAACTTAGTGGAGCATGGCATCACCAACCTCTGCGTCATCGGTGGGGATGGCAGCCTCACGGGTGCTGACATCTTCCGCTCCGAGTGGGGTGGGCTGCTGGAGGAGTTGGTCCAAGACGGTGGGTGAACCCCCTCCCAAAAACCCTGGGTGGGTAGAGTGAAAGCATTCAAGGGGCGTTGAGGTCTGGAGGCTCCACCCTCTCACCATGATACAGCACCACTATAGGGTTTAGTGATGCTCTTGGCAGTCCTGGGGTAAGGGTTGGACTTGATGTTCTTAAAGGTCTTTCCTAATTTAGTCCATTCTATGAGCCTCAGGGAGGGCTGGGCTCTTCCACTGCTCTGCAGAATCCAGCCCAACACTGGGGCAGGGAATGGGAGTGCCCTAAAATATCTGGTGGCACGGCCATCCCCCCCCCCCGCAGGGCAGATCAGCGAGGAGGTGGCACGGGAGAACTGCCGCCTGAACATCGTGGGGCTGGTGGGCTCCATCGACAACGATTTCTGCGGCACTGACATGACCATTGGCACCGACTCGGCGCTGCACCGCATCATGGAGGTGATCGACGCCATCACCACCACGGCACAGAGGTGAGCGGGCTGGGGGCTGGACTCTGGACCACCCTGGGCATCAGATCCACTTTCCATCTCCTCCTACCTGTATTCTTGCAGCCACCAGCGGACGTTTGTGCTGGAGGTGATGGGCCGCCACTGCGGGTAAGATGGGGAAGGGATTGATGGGATGGGATGCTATGTGTTGGGGCTGGTGCTGCCACCACCATGTCCCCGCAGGTACCTGGCGCTGGTGTCCGGCTTGGCCTCAGGCGCAGACTGGCTCTTCATCCCTGAATCCCCTCCAGAGGATGGCTGGGAGGACCTCATGTGTGAGAGGCTTGGAGAGGTGAGAAGGGGGGTTCCTATGGTCACATCCCCCTTTTCTCTCTGGAGAGTCCCCGCAGGGATCTGGGCTGCGCCCTGTGGCCAGTGGCCAAACCCTGCGAAGCTTCGGGAGCTCCCATCATTGTCCCTGTGAAACAGGGCACTCAGCTGAGTGCAAATCCAGCCCTAATGTACCAGGGGCAGTGCTGCCTTGGGGCTTGGGCACCCAGACCATGAGCCACCCCCTGGCAGCAGCAGATATGGGGAGGGTGGAAGGATGCTGGGACTTGGTTGCCAGTGATTTTTTGCTAACCTCAGTGGCTGATATCCTCCCTACACCAGACACGCAGCAGGGGCTCACGGCTCAACATCATCATCATTGCTGAGGGTGCCATCGACCGCAGTGGCAAACCAATCTCCTCCAACTACGTGAAGGATGTAAGTGACTGCTCCAGCATCCGCTTCAGCACCTGCAGTGACCAGTGGGTTCCTGTGTGACCTCCTCTCTTCTCTGCAGCTGGTGGTGCAGCGCTTGGGTTTCGACACACGGGTCACCGTCCTTGGCCACGTGCAGCGTGGCGGGACTCCATCAGCCTTTGACCGTGTGCTGGTAGGTCCTGGGTGAGGGTGATATGGGGAGGGTCATCCTGCAGAAAGGAGCAGGCAGCTGAGGGAACCCTGTTCCTGCTTTCCCTCTACCCATTGCAAAGGACTTGCCAGCTTGGGATGAGACTCAGATGGTCCCCCGAGGCTCAGCACTGCAGAACAATGTGCTTTTTTTCCCTCATTTGCTTCGAATTCCATGGGTTTTTAAATAAAACCAGCAGCTCCCTGGCTGTAAGTCAGCTGTGCAAGCAGCCATGCAGTTTCCAAGCCTGTGGAAGCATCCCAGCTAGCTGGCATAGGGCAGCCCTGATGTCACAGGGCACCGGGTGCCCCTTTCCCATTGCAGAGCAGCAAGATGGGGATGGAGGCAGTGATGGCGCTGCTGGAGGCCACGCCAGACACGCCGGCCTGCGTGGTGAGCCTCTCGGGGAACCAGTCTGTGCGGCTGCCGCTCATGGAGTGCGTCCAGGTGGTGAGTACCAGGAGGATGAGGCATGCCAGCCTGCTGGGTGCGGGTCCTGCTCCCCTTCTCTGCAAGCAAGGGTCTCATAGTGCTATTCTCTTACCCCCCCAAACAAAGACTAAGGATGTGCAGAAGGCCATGGATGAGAAGAGGTTTGATGAGGCCATCCAGCTGCGTGGGAGGTGAGGAGTGGGGATTGGGATGGTGTGAGACCTCCCTATGGGATGGCCAAAAGGATGTGCTGGGATGGGGGATTCTCTCCTGGGGGGAAACCATTGGCTCCTGCTGCTGGGAGGGCATTCCCCCTCCCTTCTCTGGGTCTAGATGCCCATCAGGGGCATGCTGCCTTGTTCTTGCAGGAGCTTTGAGAACAACTGGAACATCTACAAGCTGCTGGCGCACCAGAAGCCAGCGCAGGAGAAGGTGAGGAAGGACAGAGAGCGGCAGTGGTCACTGTCCCCACCTTGGGGGACACGCACCAATGTGCCATCCCCATCGCTGTCCCCACAGAGCCCCTTCAGCCTGGCCATCCTGAATGTGGGTGCTCCTGCTGCCGGCATGAACGCTGCCGTCAGGTCGGCTGTGCGCATCGGCATCTGCCAGGGACATACCGTCTACGTGGTGAGCGACGGCTTTGAGGGCTTGTCCAAGGGGCAGGTGAGTGGGATGGTGAGCCTGGGTGCCACAGATTGCCCAGAGGAATGGGTTTGTGCTTGGAGGGGGTTACAGGGTGTTTTACCCCAAAACTGAACTCTGCTGCTTTCAGATCCGTGAGGTGGGCTGGCACGACGTGGCAGGCTGGCTGGGACGTGGTGGGTCCATGCTGGGCACCAAGCGGTAAGTGCAGCCCCAGAGGGCTATATGGGAGGGGATCCCCTGTCCTCACCTCACGATCTCTCCTCCGTTTCCCCCAGGACACTGCCTAAGACCTGCATGGAAAAGATCGTGGAGAACGTGCGGAAATTCAACATCCAGGGGCTGCTGGTCATTGGGGGGTTCGAGGTGCGGGGGGAATCCTCAACTCTGTTTCAGAGGGGGCTGGGATGGGCTGTCAGCATCCCATGTGGTGCAGGCAGCCCAGGGCATCCCTTTTGGGATGTGCATCCAGCCCCAGGGCCAGCACTTCCCCAGCTCTGGGCTGTTTGCAGGCCTATGAGGGGGTGCTGCAGCTGGTGGAGGCCCGCGGGCAGTACGAGGAGCTCTGCATCGTCATGTGTGTCATCCCTGCCACCATCAGCAACAACGTGCCCGGCACTGACTTCAGCCTGGGCTCAGACACGGCTGTCAATGCAGCCATGGAGGTGAGGGACAGGGCAGGGGGCAGCTCCCGGAGCTGTCCTGCTCCAGCAGGTCCCATCGTGTTTTGGGATGGCACATTGGGAA